AAAAGGATTTTTTTTTGGGCGGGGTTTTTTTTTTCTGGGGGTGGGGGTGTGGGGAGGTTCGGTTATGTTTACCCTTTTTTTATTACAGAGAAAGCTCCAAAGCTGTTAGATAAGTTCTTGGAAAATAGAAGGTGTTTGATGCTTCTTGTTTTATCACTTTATTCATGGGAAAATTTACAAAAGTAAATATTTTCGACAGGGTTGTTGACAAAGAAATTTCTCAATTTACTTCAACAAGCTGAGGATGGAACCCTTGATTTGAACAGAGCAGCAGAGATTTTGGATGTATGACTCTTATAATGCTTCATTACGTTGCTTCTTGCAGTTATCTTCTGGTTCTTGCAGCTGCATTTTCTGATCTTCCATCTTTAAAATAAAATATTTTAAAGTTCTCCTTGCTACGATTTTTTTCCTTTCCTTTGGTAGGTTCAAAAGAGGAGAATATATGATATAACCAATGTTCTTGAAGGCGTTGGATTGATTGAAAAGAAGTTGAAGAATATGATTCGTTGGAAGTAAATTTGTGATTCTTTCCTATTTTATTTTTTGATCTATTATGACAACTTGCTAAGTACAAGCATGTACAACAGGGGAAATGATATTTCAAGGCCAAAAGAGCTGAGTGATCAAATAGATGGTTTAAAGGTATACTTCAACCTTAAATCTTATTGTTCTGCCTTTTTCTTCTATCAATGATAATAGATGTGCTTTTGATGAGTATTCAAGAATGCTCTTTGAGTTTCTGAGTTTATTAATAAAGGTCTCTGTAGTTATAATAATTATGCTCTAATTATGTATGGACACACTACTACTGTTGGTTAACTAAAAAGCAGTACTTCTCGCGAAAAAGCTTTAATTATGTTCTGGAGACTTTCATTTCTATGGTGAGCATTTTTGCTTCCTGTGTTTGGCCTGAGAGTTATATTGTATTTTTGGTCCCTTTTCGAATGATTTGGTGATGTATATTCCTTCAAATGTAACTGAAGAATGCTAATTATAGATTTATTAATTGATATTCTTTACACTGTCAATGCTATCAGTCTGTCTTTATCAGCATCTAAATATTTGATGCAGGTCAAGGAAAAATGACGACGAGTGTTAAATGAAGATAAGTCATATGTATATATATGCAACCCTAAGGATCAAATATATCTAGAAAGATCATAAAGTTAGAATCCATATGCATGCATAAAATAATTTATTCTAGAATGAGAAGTTAGAACTAAATCTATGAAAACAAAACTACAGTGCTATGCAAGAAAACATAAGGGGAGTTTAGATCGAATTGTTATTTAACTATGATTACTGAAATTCTGTACATCTCCATTTTTACTTAAGAAATTAACTCTTGATCTAAGGGGTTAGTTAGAGTTTATACCTTGCGAAATAAGAAATAACACACAATTGAAGTTCTGGTGAGTCTGATCATCTTGATATTCTGCTTAGTGAATTGGATATCTCTAGATCATCAAATAACCATGATTGTGTTAAAACTATATAATACGCTTTTATTTATCCAGTATCAAATAAATTTCAAAATTTGTGGTTTTAGAAGTGGGAGAGCCTTGGCTAGACATTGTAGACAATGAACAAGGTAATCAAGATCAAGGAGAAGAAGGTGTTTGTTTTTAGAACGATAGGGAGTCTGTTCAGTTTTGATTTTTGTTATTTTAAAGAGGGAAAGGGATTTGGGAAGGGTTTTGATGAGATGAAAGGAGGTAGCAACAAGGCAAGTAGAAAAGTAGGTGATGGGCAGTGCTAGTTAGGATTTTGGAGGAGAGTAGAAGGGTGCAGCAAGGAGACAGCTGGGTTAGGGTTAAGGTTTGTGGTAGGCAATGTTCAAAAACACGGTGCAGCAATGCAACTCGGCCGGTTCCAAAATGTAATAACTTGGACTGTGACTGGAAGCGCGTAAGGTTTAATAGGATTATGCGTTGATTAATTGGATTATGCGGAATTATGCATTTTTAAATTTTTAATATATATTTATTATTTTTCATATGTTAAAATATATAAAATTCTAGAAGATTTGAAAATATACTTAGAAGCTTCGAGTAATCTGTTTCACCAGAGAGCTTTGAGGGGAATGTTGGAGAGCTTCAAACTGATTGTTAGAGAGCTTGTTGAAGAGCACCGAAGGTCATACAATCTTTTAATGAGTTTTCACGAGCAATGTGAGGTGAAGCAGGCATGGACGAAGGCCAGAGATATTTGTTGCAGCCTGGGTTTGAACAAGAGAGAGAATTGAGAGAGAAGTAGCAGAACCATGATTAAGGGTTTTTTAAACTTTAGTAGTCTGGGTATTGGATAAATGGGTTTAACCCGGAAAGGATATAAAAGAATTATGTGGGCACTTACTGACAATGCACCCGATTATGCGGATCACTGCATAATGGAGCGCTTTTGCTCTAATCGAAGCGGTTCTAACGCACTTGCACAAAAGCATCCGCTTAATCTGCATTTTAGAACATTGGTGATAGGAGTGAGTTTGAAGGGGGGAGGAAGGTGGAGAGCATTCACGAATTGGGATTAGGGTTATGGCTAAGGCTTCTCATTTCAGCAAAGCATTTCACAATCAATTTCAGCGTCAAAATATCTTAAAAGTTCCAATCAATCAAGTATGGTAATTCAAGGATGAGTATTTGTAGTCTAAATTACCTAAATTTACATAAACAAAATCCCTGACTGTTAACAACTAATATCTGCAAGTTTTGTTTTGTTTATAAAAGAGTAAATTAATTCCATGTTGAAGCAGATAGTGTGAAAGTCAGTTTGTTTTTTTTTATAAAAGAATAAATGAACCCCATGCTGAAGGAGATTGTGTGAAAGTTGAAATCTCAAAATAACAGTTTCGATTTCACTGGTGAAATTGTGAAAAGGGTAAAGAAGATTCTTCAGTGTGTTTTCCAATGGCTTATTTGATGGTAATCAATATAGCAATTGATTCGCACTTTACCATCACGCATATAAATATCAGAGATAAGCTATCATCAAATAATGTCTATGTGCAGCAAGTTTGGAGGGAACTCAGAAGTTTTTAATTACTATCATTTGCTCTATGGGTTAATTTCATGCCAACCATTTAGTTTTTAATATAACTGTTTTGCATGTCGACATTTTCAGGCTGAAGTTGAAACACTACATACGGATGAATGCAGAGTAGATGAGATGATAAGGTGTGTTTTCACAACTCTTAAGGGAAATTTTCTAACTTCTTTCTGGTCTTAACTTCCATTTATTACTTAACAGAGAGATGCAGGAAACTCTGAGAACCATGAGTGAAGATGAAAGAATTTCCAAGTAAATTTGAAGTCCATTTCATATGGATATCTTGAAATATGTATCATTTTCTTCATTTTGATGAGTTTTAGTTATTTTCATTTTTGTTTAGACGACTCTTTGTCATGGAGGAAGATATCAATAAGCTTCCTTGCTTTGAGGTTTGGTTTCGTACTGACTAATTCAGATGATGTGACCTTTATTTGCTCTAACTGTAGTGTAAAATTTTCCGTCAGTTACTGTCTCTTCAAGCTTCATGTCTTTTGACAGGATGCTACTGTTATTGCTATAAAAGCTCCTTACGGAACTAGTGTTGAAGTTCCAGATCCTGATGAGGTGCGTTAGAGAGATTAGACAAGGAATATTTTTGAGTCGGAAGGTTAATGATGGATTGTTTTTCTTGGACAGAGTATTGACCGTTCACAACGACACTTTCAACTGCTCTTAAGAAGCTCCTTGGGCCCCATTAGCTGCTACCTAGTAAGGTATTCACAGAGGATTGCAGAAGTGGTAGGAACCTTAAAAGTTCACGTTAACATGCCTTATTCTAAGCCAGTTATCTTTGTAACAGAAATCATGGAGGGAGGGTTAAGGATTCAAGCCCTTCACAACAGACTGCAGCATTGAATTTACCTAATAAAGCTAATCGCAACCATTGTAGAGATGAAACCTCATTGCAACAGACAACGAACCGACAAGGAAGAGATCAAACCAGCCCTGTCCTTTTGTCTGGTTCTTTCAGCTCACTAGACAGTTCAGGGGGTGTGTTGAAGATTCTACCATCAGATGTTGATGTTAGTGTTATTGAATCAACTCTTCGTTTATGAAGAATTTTTTTTTTCATGACTAATGTTATTTCTTGGCAGATTGATGCTGATTACTTTCTTCTATCAGAGCCTACAGTCAGCGTTTCGGAATCCTGGACTGCATGTATCCTTTCTCTTTTCCTTCTGAAGTTGGCTTCTTATTTTGATTATTCATGTTGTATGTTTATTTCTGTTGAGAACACTCGTAAGCCACTGAACTGATTAGCTTGCTTTGCACTCATAAGCCACTGAATATTAAACCAATTGATTTCACATATAACCATTATCTGTTTTCTTAACTGTTGTTAGATGTAGAATGATCAAAGATGAAGGAGCTCCCAATAAAAGCATCAATTTTGGGTTAGCCAGGTAAAATTGAGTTGACAGCTGAAGACTTTTCCCTCGGCATGATCTCAGCAGCAGAACTCCCTCAGGTTCTGAAGAGTGTAAAAAGCGGGAAGCCAAAGGAAAAGCTAAAGGGACCTATCAACATGTTAAGATCTGTAAATTTGTAAACATGATATAGTTTCTCCTTTTCAAATTCTAGAGCCATCAAAATAAAAGGCCCTATCGGCAGGAAAGTTTTCCATTTTGCTAGCAGTGAGAGGCGATAAAAAGAGGACTAGAGAAGAGAAACGGAGTGTCATGAGCAGCAGTCGTGAGGCTTTAGTTTATTTATTTAGTCAAATTTTCTGGTGCGGTTGTGAAAACTGCTGGATGTTTGTGATGTTTTCATCAACATCGATGTTTTGCGAGCTAAATTTATGCCCATTATCTTATCTTTGCTTGCATCCCGGTTTCAGGATCCTCGATTTCTCTCTCCTCTCTACCCTCTTATTTCATTGTTTCACATTTATCTGCAGACTTTGGCAAAGGTTAATTGCATCGTGCTCTCGTTGAGTACAAACGACGGCTCATGCTTCTTCGAGATATTTACTTCCAGTCTTCAAAACAAACAATCGCTCCACGGGTGATCAGGCTGAAGAGCTTGTGGTGTCTAATTGTCTTATTGTTTGGTAAACTTGATTTAAAAAAAAAAAAAAACTAATTTTGTGAACTAAGAACAATTTTCAGCTGTTTCTTCTTCTTCTTCTTCTTTTCAATTGAAAAGGGCTTATTTTCACTTTGGTACCCCAAACTTTACACATTCTTCACTTTCATACCCTAAATATTTTTAACACTTTGATACCCCAAATGGGCCAAATCGTTAAACTTTGATATCCACAATATATTAAATTTTCTGTGAAAAAATGGGTAAGACTTGTGCGACGATGTATAATTCTCTGAAAAAGAAACAGTCGGTGCTGGGAAGATACAGAGGAATAACAGTCGCACAATGGGCTTTCTTTTGAATTTGTTTTAATGATCTTTTACTTACATACCTTCGTATCTGTCATATTTGCATATTTACCATCCAAATCTGACTATTTGCAAATTTACCCTTACGTTTTCCTTGCCATACTGAAATCCGTCAACAAAAGGCCAAAACAGCAAGCATTTTTAAAAAAAATCGTCCACAAAAGGCCAAAACAGCAAGCATTTTAAAAGACCCACCTTCAGGATAACTGAAGGACATCCAGAACAAAGGTTCTACATACAACCAACCACAACCATAAAAAAGATAAATAAAAAAAAAGGATAGAAGCCTTAACCAAAAGCAATGGAAGCCAGTATCCTTCCCCTCTCTCATCCTCTTCATTCATCCTCCCCTTTCAGAAGACCGACGTCCCTCAAAATCCAACCTTCCCATCTCAGACTTACTCTTCTCCACGCTGTCAGCAGCAATGGAGAGACCAGCACCAACAGCGACGATGACGGCCAAAACAAAGCAGATGAAACATCAGCGACAACTCCTCGGCCAGCACTAAACACCCTCAACATCCGTTACCGTGCACGATCAAAGAGACAAGCGCGCAAGCAGCAGGAACAAGAACAGCAGAGCTTCAAGCCCCCGCCACCACCGAAGAAGGAATGGGAGTCCATGACACTGGCAGAGAAGGCAGTAGAGCTTTACGTAGGAGAGAAGGGGCTCTTGTTCTGGCTCAATAAATTTGCATATGCCTCTATCTTCATTATTATTGGTGGATGGATTGTGTTCAGGTTTGTGGGCCCGTCTCTCGGTTTGTATGAGCTTGATGCTCCGCCGTTGTCTCCAACTAGTATTCTCAAAGGATCACCATGAAGGAAGGGGATGTTGGTATCTGTTTTGTTTCAGTATTGGATCAGTTTGATTGTTTATAAGAGTTAGCTACTCTTTGTTTATTTCTATCATTTGTGTGTATGTTATATTGGAAAGCTATGCATTAACAATCACAACGATGAAAGCATTTCAAAATGCAGATTGACAGAACAATTCCGAAAAAAAGAGAGCAAGAAAGGTAAAGATGGAAAACAGTTTTTATGCCAAAAAACAGCTTATTGTGTTCCAATTTAGGTAAGAGAACTTGCATTTTGCAACTTCGATGACGAAATAGTATACACTAACAAAATTATAGAACAAACCCAGAAGTCATAGACAGGAATTCTTTGTTTCCTTAATGAAGATCAAGAGTTCAATTCCTTGTAGATAAGATTTCATTAGAAAGCTATCTCGTGCCGCTATAATGTTTCATAAAACACCCAAAGACTGGTTCTCGATGACAAAAAACATAAGCAAGTTTTAGTTGGGATTTGTTTAGATTGCTTACTGCTACATAGTTTTCTAACAAACATAAGCCCATGATATCTATGATCAGTTCTCTTGAGCAAAGGGAAACGTGACGGAAATTGTATACTCATAAGCCAAACTGCTTTCACAAAAAGCATAAGCAATGGTATGAGTTTTCTTGAGCTTTCTTGAGCGAATTTGTCATCGACATTTGAAGAGGACAATAGACTAGAGCACAATGAGATACTTGAAACGCTGCTATGAAAGAACTAGCTTCGGAATTAATATATTTGAAGAGGACAATAGACTAGAGCACAATGAGATACTTGAAACGCTGCTATGAAAGAACTAGCTTCGGAATTAATATATTAGGGAATCCCTAAAATAGCGCCTATTAGTAAAGTTAACGTGGGAAATCTCATTTTCCCCTTATTTCAGATTCCATATCTTAGAAAAGCTTGCTTCTAGCTAATTCAGCTCATCCATGTCATAATCGTCGTTATCTACAAACACTTCCTTCTATCTGAAGATAAAAGCAAACTCTGGATAGATGTGACAAATCTTATGTTGTGCTTAATTGCCTTAAATTTTCAGTGAACAAAATAGTGCCATTAGTGGTATAAAACAAGCATAAAATTGAGAAAGAAAGTCACCTGAGCATCAGAGTCTGCTCTTTGGATCTCTCACAAGCATCAGCATCATTTTGTCTGCAAATAAATTGGCATCTGACAGAACAGCTAACGGCCATTAAAACACCTCATTTGGTCATTTTTCACCTGTTCAGCCTGCTTCGCAGCAGGCCTGCTTTTCTGTCTTCAACTCTATTTCTTTTTTGCATTCAAAGAACAATTCAGGAGTCGTTACAGTGCATTAACAACGTTGGCTCACTATTGAAAGGAAGATAACACTTTAGTTGCCAACATCATTAAAAACATGTATGAAAAAGAGTGAATTTAAAATAAATCTGAAAATTTGGGGATTACTTGTTGTCTATCTCCTCTTTATTGGTAACTTTTCCATCTCCTCTTCCAGTAAGACCTTCATCAGAGACTTTAGAAGATATCCAGGAGGGAGAGAGAGAGAGAGAGAGAGAGAGAGAGAGAGAGAGAGAGAGAGAGAGAGAGAGAGAGAGCGCGTGCCTCCAGTAGCAGTCTTTGCCGCCATTTAGACAAACACAAGAACCATCCCTGTTATTTCTTTTCTGTATTATCCATAAAGTACTTACGAACCTATATGTATATCCATGTGCATTTGTTTCATATAACGAAGAAATCAAAGCATTAAAGATCAAAAGGAAGAATCACTCGCTTGATGAAAAGAAAACACAGATATATGCTTGGGAACATGATCTCAGTGCATATAAGGAATTCCTTAGATCAAGCGGCATATCTATTACTCTCCTGGTTTTTGACAACTTTTCTCTGAATTCTGATACCTTACCAGACCTTTACGTCATGAAGGCATAATCATGTCAGACACGTACAACATATCCGACAAAGAATGCACATTCATGTTTATATATGTACGTACACATGCACTCTCTTTTTTGTATGTGAGTGTATTCTAAGAGAATTGATAGTTTGATACAGGAAGATACCACTATGTGTGAGCGTATGACACTTAAAATGATTGGGAAATAGACTTTGGTGCTAATGTTACATGAAAGAGATTGTGGAATCTGTTGACATATGCAAGAGTTACAAGGAAAGCTAGCAAGTTAGAGTAACTCTTTTTCTTGTTACCCTTTCTCATTAGCTATGGCAGTGTAAGATTCAAAGGTTTTCTTTTTGTTTGTTAATATTTTGTAATTGTGAAAACCCATCTTGACATTTCTTTCTTTTTGTTTGTTAATATTTTGTAATTGTGAAAACCCATCTTGACATTTCTATTTATTAAATTGTTCATACATTTTTCTTAATTTTCCGTTTAATGTGCGTTATCTCTTTTTTATTATTAATTCCATATAAAACAAGAAGTTAATATGTACATCCCCTTCATTTTGGATTTCACAAGATTTAAAATTTGATTTGGAGTAACCAAATAATATGAAAATAAGTGTGGAGTTAAAATAAAATAAAAACAGAGGCTGGAAAGGTAATCAAATATTTAGCAAAAAAAGAAAATATAAAATCAATTTACTATCCCCATTTATTAAAATTGTCAAAGTTTCTTTTGTTAAAAGTTTGACAATGTGCAAAGCAGTGCTGGTCAATGAACTCCAAAAGTCAGCACATGAGAAAGCTCTTAATAATTTTTTTTATTATGATAAAAAACAAAAGGTCCTCCAACAAGATCACAGATTCTTAGTTTTTCAATATGGCATATGTTTCCTGGAAAATCCCATATCCCATATGATACGAACTGAATGTATTTCCATAAATTATCTACATTCACAAATTGCATGACCAGGGGAAAAAAGATTATGAATGTGGAAGAACATACAACATTGAGGATAAAGTACATGCATTAAATTAGAGTAATTTAACCAAGAAATCACAGAAGTCAGGGGACTAGTTCATATCGCTGTTTTTACTCGTACAGAAGAATATTTTATGACAGATGTACAGGACTCTTTAACATGTTAGTACAAGACTATTTAACATGCTAATGCCTGAAGTATGTACAAGCATAAGCTAAAAGAAATATATAATTAGAGTATTTACTGGCCCTGTATATCCCTACTTGTGAAGACCTGACAGGGTTAGCTCTCCTCTGGCTTCGATTGTGAAGCAACATTCTTAAGGCCTCACATAAACACAATAAACTTTTACGTTATATTGCATGACACAAAATAGAAGAAATATATATATACACAACATATTTGGCCCTATCTATTCTTACTAGTCATATTTGAGACTGGGACAGGGTTAGCTGTTCCTGATTGTGGTTCTGTCTTCGACTGTGAAGCAACATACCGCAAAACTTCAAAAAATCTTGTCTGACCATAACTAACAGACTTTTGCCAATAGATAACAGCAACATCCCCAGCACTGGTTCTCAACTCAAGCAAGTTGCGGTCAATCTCGCTCTCGTGTTTCGCCATAAATGGCCTAAAGAAGGCCTCATATACATACTTCGTTCCCTGAAATAATAAACAACAAAGTAGGGATAGGTATAAGAACCAAAGCATTACATGTAATACCTAAAAGAGAATTCTAGTTTCCATACCTTAGATTTAGGGCACCAAAGATATATAAAGAATGCCAATTTTGCTTCATTATACATTGGTAACCTTCACCAAAACAAGAAATGCAATGTTATTATATAAAGAGAGAAGCTACAAGCCCATAAAGCATATGACAGAATTTCGTTTACCATGAAATTGAGGCATCTCCAATCCTCTCGAAAATGGTTAGCAATGCAACTAATATCCTGAAACAAATGAAGATATCAGAATATATTTTCCTATAAAAAGATGAGAGGGAATAACTGACCAGTACTGACACCAAAATCGGAGTTGGTTGATCTCCGGTTTGTTCAATTCGATAGATTTGTAGCACTCATAAGCCGGATAAGCATAGCCAAGAATCATTCTACAAAATGATGCAATACAATACAAACTTCAGTTGCCTCCAACATTCCTATGTATTTAGTAAAATGAACATCAGAACCTTAATCTTTTTAACTTTTTCTGATTGTGCGATCTGCAAATATCATATTCTTCTTGCTTTTACCAAGGCTTCATCAGATGTAATATGTATCCCTTTTAATATTAAATTAAAAGTATTAAATACAGAATATACCCTTAAAGGTTTGCAGGGCATGTAAATACAGCCTAAGGTTTCAAAATTGATAAATATTTGATTATAAACTGAGGATAAATAAAGTGCCGCTTCTAAAATCTTTGGACTATTATTTTCTTTAACTCCTAAAAGCCGTAAGGCAATTTTCTGCAGTATACACAAATCCAAATCACAAAACTTTAAATATTGAAGTAAAATCTTAAATTTTAGTAAATTTCAAAAAAAAAAAAAAACTATATTATCTTGTCCTCTGAGACACAAAAATTTTCGTTACATACATCCAAACACAACCTTAACGAACACATTCCATTCAACTGTTAAATTTACATAAAAGAATTTTGGGAAAATGAAATTTAAAAGGTTAGATATTCTTACATAGAGACTCTGCTGAGAAAGGATCCCATCATCTTGCATGCATCAATCTCAACAAGCGAAATCACAACGCAGAAACCCTAAATCACAGAGATGAAATAATCAATATTCGCATACATTGATTAAGGGCGAAAATTTAACAAAAAATGGAGAGAGAGAGAGAGAGAGAGAGAGAGAGAGGCGCTATGATTTATATAGGGCATCAAAAGTCGTCGATATTTGAAGCAACGCATCCCAAAATCCCAACGTCTATTTTTTTTGTGATGTGGATTATTAACCATTTTATTACTATCGTCGACTAGTGATTTAAGTATTACTAACTTTACTAACTAACTTAAATCAAGAAGCATTAAATTTGTACTCTCACTATTATTTTATTTTATGTGAGTTTAAAAGCAAAAACATGTTTGTTTATTTAAAAATAATTGATGCTAAAAAGTGTGAACCGTATTTCTACAGAAAAAAACATCCCCTTGCATAATTTTCCCCACAATGAAAAATTGTAGTTAATGTTGTTTATTATTATTTTGCATTTGTTTTTTGGGGTGGAGGGAGGGGAATTTTCTAATAATATCTAAAAGTTAAATTAGATTTTGTATTAAACCCCTAAACTTTATGCGGGTTTTGTGATATTTTGAAAATTACGAGAGGTCATTATACTGATTATATTTTAAGAAGCATTATTTTTTTCAGTTCTGAATTTCTACCATGTTATGGTGTTTTCAGTCGTCAAAGTATGACTTTTTTACCAGTCACGGACATATGTCCCCCTACATGCACCGCTCAAATCGAATTGACGATCAGGACCACCAAGAATCCCGACTTAGCCGACTCGCCGAGTCGACATCTCCTTAGATCGGCTCGAAGGGCGGTACTTGTCGGTCCTCTTGTCGAAGACGACTCGTTCCGAGCCCACTCGACCTGTTATTCGACACATTGTAGGGTCGGCTCGAGAGGTGTTCCTTCTCGACACCCCTCGCTATAAGCCAAAGGACGACTTCAATCTTGAGCCTCCCCCGCTGATAACGCGTCGGCATCACATTAAATGCCTGACATGCGCCATCATTCCTCTAGCCCCAATAGTGGCGATGACACATCGGACCACGTCGGCACCATCATGTCCCCAATCACTTCGCATTAAATACTAAGGTGACCACTCCTCCACTCGTCGACCGACATTTATAAAGCAGGTGCTGACGTAGCCGTCATCCCATACTCGGCCGAGATTACCATTCTACCCTTTTATCACCACTATAAATAGGGGTACTATTCCAAATACCGGGGTAAGCAAGCAATATCTCAGAATTCTTCTCCACTGCACTACATTTTTAGAACTCACACAGTTCATCACTTTCCCACTCAAGTCCATTAACTAACTTGATCGTCGAAGGAATAACGGGGAAACTAGTCCTCGTCCTCTTACAAGTTGTTATTTGTGCAGATAGAAGCTCATCTACTCAAACCAGTTTTTCAGAGAAGTTAGCGGCCCCTAATCAACATCATCCTTATTTTATTATTTGGTTGATTATTAACATCAACATACCCTCACTATTATTTTATGTAAGTTTTAAAGTGAAACACATGTTTGTTTATGGAAAAACAATTTATGATGTTCACTAATTAACCCTCTAAAAATGTGAACCATAGTTTTCACTGCAAAAACATCTCCTTGCGTGATTTTCCCCGCCAATGCGAAAATTTGTAGTTAATGCTGTTAGTGGGGGTTTCTAATAAAATATTAAAGTTAAAGGGGTTTTTCTAATAACCCCTAAACTTTTGAGGGTTTTCTAATATTTTGAAAGTTATGAAAGGTTATTTGACAATTGTCCATAGTCAAGGTGGTTCCTAATATTTATCCTAAAGGTAATAACCAAGTTATCCAATTATTATTTGACGTCATAGGAAAGCAAACTATCCAAACAATAAAATATTTACCTTTTGGGTAACATAGGACCACACTGGACGAAATATGCAAAGGACGGCTCAACCCTAGAAGGGGAGCTATATATATATCATACTTACTTCTTTTAAAAACACGAGTTTAGGAAAATCTTTTCATGATCAATATTATCATTTACTATTTTGAATATTTTATTTAAATCTTAATCTATTCTAATTTTAATCATATCTTATCTAATTCCACGTGAACTATCTATAGGTCAACAATTTTAAAAAAGTTAATTTTGAATATTTTACTTAAATCTTAATCTATCCAAATATTAATTATATCCTATATTAACTCCATATGAACTACCTATAGCTCAACAATTTAGAAAAAAATAAGATTAAGAAATTATACGTAGATAATATATTATAATACATAAAGGATTACAAAAACCCAAAAGTTTCAAAAATTGCATATAATAGCCTTAAAATTTTAAAATTACACAAAACACCTTTGACTTTTTAAAACTTAATGACAAATATGAAATCTAAAAATTTAAAACTTATAATCAACACCCTCAATATTTTAAAAATTATAGAAACAACCTTAAAATTTTAAAGGCTAATTACATTTACATACCCTATTGTTTCGCTCTTGTAGTAGTTATATACCCTAAGTTACAAAACATAGCAAAAAATACCGTGAGTTAGCAAAATTTTGCAAGTTGGTACCTTCTGTTAACCAATCGTGAGAGTATTCTCTAGAATATTCCCACATGCTGCACATATGACCAACTTGAATGCTTCTTACCCTCATTTATTATATTATTTGCTATATTACTTACCTACCTCCCCCCCCCCCCCCCCCCCAAAAAAAAAATTAAATTAAATTAAATTATTTTCATTATCTTCTTCTTCTTTTCGTGGCCTCCAACTTCTTCTTCCTCTTAATAATGGGTAACAATAGAAAATAAGAGTTTTTACTATGTTTTGGGGGGTGGGGGTTAATTCCTAAGGAGGGGCATTATTGTCCTTTCATGTATTTTTAACACTGTTAGCTAAATTTAAACAGTTACCAACTCATGGTATTTTTGTGCTATGTTTTGTAACTTTGGGTATATAGTTACTACAAGAGCGAAACAATAGGGTATATAAGTGTCATTTAGCCAAGTTTAAATTACAAAAAAGCATCCTAAACTTCAGAGATTTCAAATCCTAGAAACAACATAGATGGATTCCAGGGATTACCATTAGGCACCTAGAAATTTAAAATTAGTAAAAAATAACCTCAAAGTTACAAAAATTATAAAAACTCCCTCAAAAGTAAAAAAATTATAAAACATCCTAAAATTTTAAAACTTATAACCGGTACACATTAAATTTAAAAATTATCAGCAGACCATTGAAAAGTTAAATTTTTAAAAAGAACCCAAAATTTTAGTAATTGTAAAAATATCTTCAAAATTTTAGAGTTACAAAAAATATTCTAACATCTAAAAACTTACCACTAATACATGAAATATGAAAATTATAAGTACCCAATTTAAAATTTAAAATTTTCATAAAATACTATCAAAGTTTAAAAATTGCAAAATACACCCTCAAAAGTTTGAAATCATAAAAATGTTAAATTTTGGAAAAGAAAAGAGAAAATGTTTGATATATTACATTAAGATATAATAGGTTAGCATCAACTGATTATAATGTATAAACATTTATCTCTAATGTTGATAATATTTAATTATAAAGTAAACAAAATACATGGAGTTATATATGGAGAAACTATCAGAAAGTTTAGAGATATCCTTTAAAAAACTAAGTTGTTTTCATTTCAAATGAGAAGTGAAGGAAATAAACTCAAAATTTGGAAACATTCATGAATCACCTGAATTAACATTGATAAAAGACATATCTAGCAAAGAAGCACTGACCGAGTTTCTCTTGAAGAACATATTAAACAATTATGTCCTAATTAAAAAAACATCCTTCATGAAAGATACAAGAAAAATTAGTAAGTACTTATAAATTTTTATACTTTACTCTAAAAACAAAAATTCCCCAATGGCCCAAAATATGGGACCAACAGGGGGACATGTGAGGTGTCCTCTCCTATTGCATAATGAGCTGACCATCATATGACCAGCTTATTATGCAATAGGAGGGGGGACACATCACTTGTCCCTCCTGTTGATCCCATATTTTGGGTCCCTATAGCAAAGCTCTTCTAAAAATATTGAAAGAATCATAAACTTAATATAAAATTACATATAAATAATCTTACAATAGAAACTAAAGTAAAACCGTTGATCAACTATATTGTGAGATATAATAAACTAGATAAGATAAAAAAATTACTATAATAGACAAAAAGTATGCACATGATACTTACTTACCAGAGCATAAGTAAAAAAAATTAAAATTGATATTTTTCTTGTTTCTATATAGTGGAACGACTCTGCAAGTAATTTTATTTGGGGATATGACTACCAACGAAGGGTTAATTTTTAAGAACACAATAAAAAATAAGCATGTAATAGTACTGTCAGATTTCAACATCTTTAAATATGAAGGTAACATATTTTACAACTAAAATTCTTATTAAAGGTCACTAAACATAAATTTTATCTTATATCTGTTTCAAATTTTTAAGAAAGATATGCATGCCATCGTAAATTGTGTTAATAATATATCAATCCAAAGATATAACGTATTGAAGAAATAAGAGATAGATAAGCAAACCAAGCAAACATCCATATAACACGATAAAGAAAAAATATTACACTTTAAAGTTAATATGCAGGGCTCATTCAGAACAAGCTGCTAAAACAAAAGTATCTCTATCAAGGCTTTTTATAAATACAACACAAATTTAATTTATTAAATATTTTATAAAATAGCTTAATTTTTTGAGTAAAATCAGGAATGTTTAGGAGAGATTTTCATGAACTCTTTTAATATTTTTATATGGTTATGTGGATGCATTTATCATATAATAGTGTACTAGAGTTAGCATAATCTTTATTTTATGATTTTTCTGAAGTCTATCAATGATTAGCAACAAAATTTATATTCTCTTTAGTTTCATTCTAGACCATTTTTAATTAATCATCTTGGCTTATTAGCTTTAATTATTCATCATTCTTTTATAATATTATTTTTAAGTGTTTTTTATTTTTACAACATTATACCTTCTCAAGTCAAGCTTGGTTTCATGTCGATCCAATTAACGTGAAAATTCAAATTAACTTTAGATTACAATTATATCTTGTCAATTCAATTATCAACATGAAAATTTTAAATTTGGTGTAGCCC